GCAAAACTACAAACCAAAGCACAGTGAAAACAATTTTTAAACGAGGAATATAAATAGCAGGCAATGAGCTGAAACGCTGCACTTTTCCAGTCTTCATTCCTTATACATTCCTCATCCACCTATGCTCTTTCTCCCACTATCTCATCCCTCATTCATCTGGTCTCAATGCCATGCTTAAATTGCGCGACAATAATGCTATTTATTTACTTTTGGTTAGTTTTGCTTAACTAACTATAAGTACAATAAAAAAAAACATTAGCGACTACCTGAACTTAAAAAAATAATAATAACGAATAGAATCCTGCGTGCATCAAGCGAGTTGGACAACTTGAAAACTGCGTCTCCAAATTTTAGATGGACATGGTGGATTCCCTCTATTCCCAAAAGCCGCGAGGATACCGGCGGATTGTGTTGCGCTCCTGCTTGAGGGATATGGGCCTATTCCCCACGCTGAAGTGGAGAGCAATTAATCGCCGAGGTGCCTATTGTGAGCGCTAATTAAATGGATGCGCCATTATGAGGTCCCATCCGAATCCTTTCAGATTTCACTCTGACGACGGCGAGCTGCCAGGTCTCTGCGCTTGTTATGTGAAATGAAAGGAAGCAAAGGCAGAGTCTGTGGGCCTCACAATGAACACTGACAGAGCAGATGTCTATTTCGTATCACTCTTTGACAGCTACATAGAACAAGACATATAAGAGAAAATTATTATTATAGGAACGACAATGCAGCCCACAGCTCCAAATAAATACAGCATGCTTTTTTTCTTACAGTCTCCTGGGTAATCATATTGTCAAGCCCAAAAAAGCCTTGTCTTTTCCTGGCTTAGTCACGGGGCCAAAAAATAGGGAGCTGCATCTTATGTTACATGATCAGGAACTATTTCTATTTTTTTTTATTTTTTTGGATGATTCATTTTTACGCTTTGAGTCGTGATGTTGCAATATGGTGGCGCTGACCTTAATTGGATTAAAGATCGCGCGCGCGCACACACACACACACACACACACACACGCGCGCTTCTCCTTTTTCGGCACTGAAAAGTAGACACACCTGTTGCAGAGTTGTGATAAAAAACGCCACCCATTACTCAACTTGCTCTGGGAAGAAGACGAAGAAGAAGAAAAATAGATTAGAAATCTCCGACGCACTTATCTGTGTTCCCCATCTCGGCAAGCGCACACGATCATGCCTCTTGCCGCCCAGCGACCAGCCCACTTAACTTTTTCATTCGTCTTCCCACAGAACAAATTCCCACTGTGCACTGAAACGAGGGATTTTCTGCTTGACTGGGGAAGTGAAAGAGATCTGAACGACGTGCTATCTCAAAAACAGGTGCTGCGATTATCAACTACACAGGATTTTATCTGGTATTCCAGTGAATAATGATCAACCCACAAGCAATTTTGGGGCTGCAGGCTAAAAAGTGTCATGAAAGATCACCAGTGGAATTAAAGAAAACACTCTTTGCAGTAGTTGTTTTTAAACTCCATATAATTATTTTAGGAGAAATGATATATGAGAAAGCACTAGTGTGACTAAAGACCATTCATGTCATACTGTGAGATACATATTTTTTTCACAGTAGCCTATACGTATTTTATCACAGAAAGTGATCCTGACTTTGGCATTGTAGCTTTATATATTCATACAGTTAAAGTACTGCGGTGCATTTATATGTCATTAATTCAACTCAGCGATTTCCCAATTGGAATTTCCCAGTGGGAAGTTTAGAGCTTTTCAAATGAGTGAATTCATGTCTGACAGACTAAAGTGTAGCTAATACAGGCACTACAGAGAAAAATCCCAGGAATGAGAAAAACATTTATGAAAGAGCACATTAAATAGATTAAACCTTCATATCGGACTTACATATTACCTATGTCATGGGGGTGGGGTAGAAAAGACATCGCAATTAAGTAATGGTGTGACGTTAGTGAACGAGTCCCATACAGGAGCTACACACTCACGTTCACTTCCCTGCAAAGATTCGTTCTTTTCGTTCTTCCGCTTGTCCACAATAATATGACCTTAATCTTGCTTAACGGCCGTAAGACAGACCCATGGGCTTTTGGCTTTGGTGGATCTACCGGCACCCGATAGACAGAATATGCGAAATGTAGGCCTACACTGATCGCATTTTTATATATTCTTCTCATTCCTTTATTGATTTGGCTCATACTTTTTCCATCCATCTATTTTCCATAACGCTTTTCAAGTAGAAGGTCATGGTGAGCCGTCAGCTTCTGGGGAAGAGCCGGGACGCGCTGGAAATCCCTGGCAGGGAGCGAACTCACACGCTACGGGCAATTTGGAGACACCGATTCAACAAACCGTATGCTTCTGAAAAATACACCAACCAAGCCCATAGCTAGGTCTGAGGTGTCCAGCAACCTTGCAGTCAGGACCCTCGATGCAGACTGAACTCCCGGCGGCTTCAAACTCATAATTTGACCAACTTCCTATGTGTCTTCTTAGGAGCGAACAAATTTCGGGGGGTGGGGGTTAAACCTGTCGGACACCAACATAACTGCACACACTTACAGCGATCCCAGAACCGGAAAACGCGAGGCCACAGAAGTCCGGCACTCACTACAGCAGAGCTTTTCCAGCTCTGACTTCGCCGGTAAATCCAGGTCCAGCCTCGTCTGCCCCCCCAGTCCCGCGTGCAGTTTCAGGCACCTTCGCTATTGGCTGAACGTCTCTGTTAAAATACCGCCGATGCTTCCGTGTTAAACAGAGCAGAACTGTCAAGGATATAGAACTCCTCGGTGAGGTTCAGCGGCATTTATTGTAATCGATACCAAAACATCGGATTCCAGTTTGTCACTTTAATTATTAAATAAACTAATATAATTTCTAGAAGATTCACCGATAAATGACGCAACTTAAATTTATATACAGCGTTCATACACTGGAACCATTCCAAACTTACGAAAAATATAATTAGTCAATATAAGGGAGAAATTTACAACGGAAAAAAGTGCTCCAGTGGCGCAATCGGTTAGCGCGCGGTACTTATACAGCAGTGCAAGCGGGGCCATGCCGAGGTTGTGAGTTCGAGCCTCACCTGGAGCAAAAACTTTGCTTCTGCAGTATTACGTGGTGACACAGTGGCTTAATTAATGTACACTTGTGATTGAAAGGTTGTTGGTTTGAATCTCCCGGCATAAGGACCAAGGTGCTCCAAATGCAGAAGGCATATTCTGTTGTTGTGCCGTGCCGTGATGCGTGACCAGTGACAACTAATCAGAGAAAAAAAAAAACTTTCAAAGTGACTGGGGCTTGATCCAGAAGAAATAAGAATCCACTTCATTCTACATATTTCCTCAAACAAGAACATATCACACTGTTCAAAAAGGAATACTTGTATAAATGTCTCTTTTGGAAAAGGCTGCATTTATTTATGAACACGTTTATTATTAATTTTCCACTGGTAATATGTGAAATCACAAAGTAACAACATGGTCTTAAAAACAACAATATTGTGGAGCTGAACACATAAGATTAACCTTTTTATAGTATTTCAGCAAACAAACTGTGAAACCATATTTTTTTTTAATGGACCATACCCAGTTAATTTCCCTGCAAATGTCACAAAATCAACAAGACTAAACTCAAAACAAACTAAACTGAACAAGACGTGTCATGTCTAACTCAACACCAAGTTTAACAAGATTTACATACGTAAGTATTCCGTATACAATGTTTTTATGCATTAGGGTATAAAAATGTTCTTTAAAAAGTAGAATATGTTTCAAATATATTTGAAAAGGGCTTTTATATAGTTCTGTGCTGTGCCATAAAAACAGCAAAAATTATATGATTATTCTAATCAATTAATTGTGATGGACAATATCTGTCCATCACAATTAATGTCCAAAATCTGTACAGTGCTCTGTAAGATATGATGTTTTTGGAGTAATATTTTTTTTGGACATAAGATTAAACTAAGATATTATGTATAACTGTGAGGACCTTAAGGGGTTTCATCTAAGTGCAATTCTTATGCTTTCACATCCAGTTTGTGTGGACCAGTATATACAGAATTGTGTACAGTAGTTTGTGTGTGTGTGTGTGTGTGTGGACAAAATATAGCGCACAAAGTAATAAACGGAAAACCGGAAGCTGTCATACACCTGTTTCAAAATCAAATTCAACAAAAAAAAAAACTGTCCAGACATTGTAAAGACATACAGCGGTGGGTTAATTGCAGTTGTCCTTGTATCTCTTGGCACAAACGTGCCAAACTGACTTGAGTCAATCCCTCTTAAAAACAACGGCGCAAAACCACTATTTAAGAGCCATAAGATCTTTGCCAGAATAATACTAATTTATAAACATCAGAAAAATATTTGTATCTTTCTGATTGGGACATTACACTATTTAAATGTAGATATGCTGAAAAGAGCATTTTTTCATCTGGCCATTGTACAGATGGCAAACTGGCAATTTGCAAATACGGCTTCACAAGCATGCAAGATACCAGGACAAATCTCACATACATGAAGACGGGCATATCAAAGACATATGTGAATACCGGAACTGTCCATGTCAACATGCATGTGGACGCGGAGGTGTATGCCCCTTTACAGATCCTCCAATTAGATCCGATTTTCAAACAAAGGCTTTTCTTGGATTTTGACTTGATTCGAGTAGCCAGATGTGTTCCCTGTTCTCTCAGGCTTCTCACGAAAGCTCTTCCAGGACTTCAGACAACTTGTTTCCTTGTGAATTGTACTGTACTGCCCATAGTGCGTCATATTTAATTTGAGAAAGTGGTCAAAATAATAAAATAGTATAACAATTCATCCAATTCCCGTGGACTCATACCCAATGCAAGATATCGGTGAGCTAGGAACCTATGTTTAAAAATGGGCAGATAGAGATGAGTACAGCCATACCTGGGATTCTGCTAAATTATATTAATAATAATAATAATAATAATAATAATAAAAACAATAATGGTCCATAAGGACTTCGTCCTTTGGACCCTTAATAATAATAATAACAGACAATGCATTAAGCAAATTTTTTCTACTTCCAACAATAATTCTTAGTACATTCTTTTTATCATCTACTTAAAGATATGACAAAGAGCGGAACATAACAGAGTGGGAGGAGCCTTTGGGTTTCTGTGAAGTGACCTTTCATGGCAGCGGTGATGTCACCACTGACAGCTCAGTAGTCAAAAAAGAAAAACCACAGGTGATGACAGGAGGCAGGACCATGGTGCTGGCACAGCGCAGGAATTAAATTTTGGGGGATTTCCCTCTTTCATCACGCGCTCGTACAATCCTTTGCTAAGTCCAGATGGCTTCATTATTGCAGTGGATGAAAACGATTTCTCTAAGAAAAAAAAAATCTCTCTCCACAGTTCAGAGTGAATTGTCTGATCATGGCATGGATCCGCTCGACGGCAGGGCCTGTGATAGCCTATAGCGGGACGTAGCTCGTCCTGTCTATTGCTCACTCCGTCCAGCTGTGGCACCTTCACATTCCCGACACGCCGATGGCCATACCGGCCGCGTGGCTCACGCACGGCAGAGTCTGCGCCTCCTTCGGGAAGTCGTGCGATACTATCCGCCCGTTCTCGCCTCCGCTGCCATTCCGGGTCATTCTGGTCAAAGTGGAGCTCAGCATGGCGTTGTTGATGATTTGCTGAATGGGGAATAGAGGGACGCAAGATCAGAACTGGACAACACCACGGTGCAGCAGATATATACCTTCTTCAGTAGGCCGCTATGGCGTTTACCGCCACCCAAACCACACTTTTTTTTTCTTGTGGAGCCCCCTGTTGGCCACAAAAAGTCAATACACTAAATATTAAATACACATTCCTTATTTAGGAGATGCTGAGGCGGGATGTTCTGCTAAAGTGCTAGCTAGCTATGATGTTCTGAGTCTACTCGCTAGCTATTTATTTAGTCTTTGAAACATCTGGGTTGGGGTGGGGGGTGGGAGTTCCTGAACAGCCCCCCCAGTCAGTGTGCACTGATTTTATTGTGAATATAAGGGGAGAGGACAAAAAAAGGAAAGAATCCATTAAGGATGGAAGCTCCTTCTCATCACAACAGTCCTACAGCACGTATAGGTGCCTGGAGTTTGATGGCAAGACTCAATAGATGAGTTCAGTGGTGAAAAAGCAGAGTGGAACAGTGAAAGACCTCATGATGATATTCAGAGCTTTGCCTTGTGATGTATTTGCCAGACACATGTGACACGTGACAAATGACATGCATGCTTTCTGCCCTGGTTACACCCAAGTGAAGTGACTGAACGGAAACATCTGAGAACAAGTTCAGCTACAAAGTGGAAGTGGAAGTTCACAGAAAGGGATCTGATCACACGACCTCAATGCCCAACCTGAGTGGCAGGAGATCCCACCAGCAATGTTCCAACATTTAACAGAAGACCTTCCCAGAAGAGTACAGTCAATCATAGCAACAGAGGATGGACCAACAGCATAATACTACCCTTGGTTTCAGAATGAGGTGTTGGACAAGTTGATGTACTTTTTGTCTGCTCATCTGATCGTGAGACGTATCTGTTCCCCGTTCATTTGGTGTTCCCCTGGTATGTTTCCCAGCTCCCCATGTTGCTCTGTAGCTCAATGGCGTGAGCAGGAGGCTGACGCTCCTCCTGTCATGAGTTTTAGGCTGGCCTGAGGCAGGCCTCCCGTCATGAGTTTTAGGCTGGCCTGAGGCAGGCCTCCC